TAATAATGGATCACCAATGTCTAATTGGTTCTAAGTTCACCCACTGATAACCTATCCTAAAAAATTTATCAAAACTTGCAAGTTAGGTGTTTAAATAACAAATCAACAAGGACAAAAATATAGATGTAACCTCCTTGGCAGTGGTAAAACCTCTTCAGTTTTAAAAAGTTAATCATCTGTTTTAAACAATAATCTATAGATATACTCAAATCTCTTCATCACTATAACAATGTCCAGTATTTTACTTTTCTTTCAAATTTATAACTTGCTTATCTCTCTAACCTTAGTTTCTGCAGATTCACTGTTGGACAGTCTTCGTCTTTGGGATTTTTTAGCTTTAGTTTGGACAAAGTTATCATCCTTCACTCCAGTCCCCACTGAACTCTCTGGTAGGTCCATCTTCACTTCTCCTAAAATGCAGCAAGGTATACATTTTGTGTGATGTAATAATGGAAAGAAAATCTCTCAGAAAATACTTTTTTTGCTTTATCTCACATCAGGATCAAGCGAAATTCAATAATTTATTCTATCTAATATCAAAATAAGGCAAAATTCTGTAGAAAATAAACAAATGTCATATTGTCATTCCTTTTGTCATAATAGAAAGCTGTGAAATGTCCATAAATAGCCATCTTGGATGACAACTAAATCGTTGTAGACTAACAAAGATTTAAGCCCTAAAATATCTTTCATCTAACCTGATGCTCTTAGGAGCTCCTCGCTGCCAGTGATCAGTGGTGATGACCCTGTTTTCTTACGCAGTCTGGTGAGTATTGCTTCTTTGACGTGTTCTTTCTTTCGATGAAAGTTGGATTCTGTCTTCTCCTCCTGTACTGGCTTTGGCACATCTGGCGGCTTCCCGTTTCTGAAAGTCAATGAAAAAATAAGCCAGTAGCAAATTGTAATAATTCTAATAATCATGGGCGTTCCAGTAAAAATGGTGGCCATAATAAATGATGAACAATTTTGTTTAAAAAAGCAATATTTGTCAGTAGCTCATGGTGCACTTAAGCTATGTACATGTAACACTGAATCAAATAAGTGATGTTTTAAAGAAATCTTACCTTGGACAAGTAATAGTGGACTGGCAACGTTGAATACATTTCTTATGGCAGATCATGGTACACATTAAACACTGGTAGGCGGCCTTTAACCAGATCTGGGGAACAGAAAACATACTGTGCAACATATCATAGGCTTAACTTTGCATTTTCTACACAAACATTCTTTGAGGGTTCCTGTACATAGGCTTTCAACTTGGTCTGTAAATATTGAATAGTTCAGACTATCATATTACAGACAATACACATTAGAAATGAGAAATTTAAATATTTTCTTTCTTTTTTCTAACCACAGGACTTTTGTGCAAAATGTCCAGGAACTATCTTGTCATATCCCTATGCAACAAAGATCCTGGTAAAAGATCTGGCTTTGACCAAAATGCTGTTAACACTCTCATGCTTGTTTAATTAACACTTTTAGTGAGTTTCACAAACACATAGTTACCCTGTTAGACATTACTAATGAGAAAACACTAGATCAACAAACAATGTAAAACAACTGATATATTATATTTGGAGGGAACACAATTAATATTAAACTGGTGATATAATCAGACTCCTTCACACAACAATTAGGTTTAAAACACAGGCTAACTTTTCTCCCATTACCTTCTTTCCACAAAAGTTACAGTAAGTAACAGAATGGAAGTTAGTTTCTACAAAGTCATGACCTCCCTCTAAGGACCTACAACAAAACATGAAGACAACTCACACCTGTAGGTTTAAAAGTGTACCATGAATATTACATTCTAATGCCCAACAGATTTGAAATTTAATTTAAAAGCACAAGTCATTACAAGACTGCTTAAAAAGGGAGTGTCATTTAATGTCATTCAATTAAAAAATTTACTCAGAAAATTCCCTGTGAAATGGAACATGTTCAATTTTATTTCTTATATTTTTATTTGTTTATTATTATTTTTTTGCTATACAAATATACAAAACCACTTTTAAGATGTGTAAGTTTCTTTAAAAATACTGGATTAACAATGATTTACTTAAACTTGGTTCATTTGAATGCAATCACCACTCCAAAGTTCAAATAATGTTATTCATAAAAACAAAATTTTCAATAAATTTTTACATACAGGAGTCCAATCACATTTCAATAAGCTATGACACAAACACCATATAACAGAAAAATAAAACAGGTACACTCAACAATACTTACTTTCTAATCTCTTCATTCCCTACAGTCAGGGGTCTCACAGAGTCTATCTGCAGAGTTTTCCTCTCTTTTTCGTCCTCCATCTGTTTTTTAATCTCCTCTCTGATTTTCTTCCTCTGCTGTGGAGTCAGGGGCCCAGGGTCGTGGCGAAATGTGAGAGTGATGTCCCCAAACGTCAGAGATTCATCAAATCCTCGCTGGAGACTCAGTTTGGTTTTAGATCGGCTGAAAGTTTAAAGATACATACAAAGTCAATTTTTTGTCATAAAAACCAACCAAATGCCAGCATATAGTTTCAAGTAGTATAACTAAGAGAATTACCAAAAGGCATTGTTTAATTTTACCAGAAAGTGATGTTTGAACAGATTTTGCTGCTAGCATTCTATGCTGTGTGTCAATGGGGCAGAAAAGTAGGTCACGAAAGTAGGTTAAATTGCGACAAAAATTTGAAAAAAGGAGCACTCTAAAGCTCTTTTATGGCTGATCGGGTGATTTATTTAGTTTATCCTTTGGCATGTCGAATTTATTAGAGTTGTATAAGAAACTAGTAGAAGTGGTTTACATGTGTTACTGGGAATCCACGCTCCATCGATGCTCGGTTCGTATGTACCTTTAAATTATCAGTCTGACAAATACCACAAATGCCCTTCAAAGGTGTTTGAAGAAACAGAAAAGAAAGCCTTAATTTGTTATATAAAAAAATATTTGTGAAACAAGTAGATGCCATATTTCTATGCTTCATAATTTAGGATATCAATTATGTAGCAAAGGAATATGAACAGCAACTACAGGTAGGTCATCTCCAAGTACAGTAAGGCATCCTTGATCCTTACTTTGCTTACTATAAAATAATCATTATTCATGTGACTAATACACAGAATGGTCCTCCCCATGTGATGGATAAGGTGTGAGGAGGCCATCTTCCAGGTCTTCTATCTTGGGATCTAATATTTTCTGTCAGAAGACGGTTAAAAATGGAGGATGGATCAACAAAGATAATTTGGAATACTGTCAGAAAATGCCTCTCGATCCACCCCTGGACAGATGGCAGCAGTGTGAAGGCCAACTGTCAGTCTTCTTGTCGCCATGCCAACCAGTCACCACTCACCTTGCTCCTCCCCTTGTCATGGATGGCATAGTGTGTATGTCAGCTGTCAGTCTTCCTGTCACCATGTCAACTTGTCACATGACTCACCTTGCTCCTCCCCTTGTCATGGATGGCAGTAGTGTATATGTCAGCTGTCGGTCACCTTGGGTGGTGGCCAAGCACTGGTCAGCTATCTCCATCAGGGGTATACTGACCTAAATGGGAAAGGTCAACATTTATACTGGTAACAGCAAGATCTGCACTTAAGCAATATGTCTTATTATTTCTGTATTCTTCATCTGCCACAGGACCAAGAGACAGTCAACAAAATTGAATTATATCTATTTTATGTCGGTCTTTAATTAGATGCCTGATCTAAAATTAATGGAGTACAGATGCATCCTGTGTTTAAAGTAAATAAATAAACAAACGCACATACACACACGCACTAGTGTCACACAAGATAATGTAGACATGTTTCAATAGCAGACTTCCCATTTGTACACAAAACATTACTTCACTCGGGGAAACAGGAAAAATTGAATAATGCTGAACCATTGCATTTAGAGGAAGCCCAGGTCTACCTGACAGACCAGAACAAGTGTGATATCAACATGTCATAATCCTACTGCAGTACTCACATGTCCTATAACAAAGTCCATCTCTGGCTTGATGACCCGGAACTGTTTGTCCACTTTGGCTGAGGTCTTGCACCACACACAGATGTTGAAGTATTTATGATGGTCCTGGACTTCAAATGTGAAGTTTTCATTCCACTTTGGCTCCTACAATAAAGATCACATATCAATAATGTATGCTACAAATGTCATTCATCATGTTTTTGTTGTTTTTTTTCAAAATTACATTTAATTTTTACTGAAAGAAAAAAATCATAAATTTAGTTCATGCCTGCTATTTACCTGTGGTTATTTAAAAAGACATAATCACAGTTGGTAATGGTCTAAAATTTCAGTGTTCTTAAGGATGAGGCTCCTGTATAAATTTTTTACTACTTTTTCTCCAGCTGTGTATCTCTATTAATTTTTTCTCCAGTTACAGGTAACCTTGTAACAAACATAATAATGATCATTTCTTCAGTATAACAACTTTAGCCCATTCCCTGATAGAGGTGTCATATTAGAAACAGAAATGTGACTTTTTACCATTGTTTGAAGAAAATATCAACATAAATTTTAAAGACATGTTAAAGAGCTGATATTCACCACTGCATAAGTGACTAAAGATGTCTTTCTCAGGTCCATGTCAGTCTCTGTGTCAGCCCGGTCTCTGGTGGTACGGATGTGGAGTGGAGGCAGGTCTATATCTGGCAGGCTCATGTTGTCTGAGGGGATGGAGGGCTGGAATTTTTATAGACATACTAAGTTAGACCTTTATTTGGAAAAAAATTATTCAGGATTTCATCAAGTTGCTTATTATCCCTATAAGGTTGCCATGCAAAAAAAAAGTTAAGATTATTACAATCTGCAAACATGTCTTCAAGTCCTAACTTTATTTTTACTGTCATGAGAGAATATCATCTCATTTTTTTCAAATTATAACTCAACCAAGAAAAGTGAATCAAAGTCAAAGATACAAATACACTTTTTCTTGAATAATAGGCTTGGCCTCTATGGCCCCATTTAGAATAGGAGACTTACTAGTTTGAGGGTCAAATATGGCTGACTCACTTATATAGGATTAGATGTCAAGCTTTGTAGTGGGTTGCCATATTTGACCCTCAGACTAGTAAGTCCCTTATTCTGAATGCGGCCTATGGTAAACATCAGCCCACCAATATTATGTGTAAATAATGGAATACCATAGTTAAAAAAACAGGTAGAAGATTTAAGTACATATAAGTGCTGAGTTAAAAGCAAATTACTTCTTCCTTGGTATTTAAAGAAGGATCACTATGGGTTCTACAAGATGCCAAACTGTCTCCACTTGAAACACTGTCCTTGACCTTGTCTTTGAGCTTGACCACTTCGACAGCTGGGTCTTCCTTCACTACGGCAGGGGCTGACACACTGGGCAAGGGTGTGGCCTTTGATGATGACGAGTTTGTTCCTTTGGATTCTAATCAATTTAGTAGACAATTTATGGTAACATTTAAATGTTAATAAATTCAAATACAAGCTTTGAATGAGTTTTAATTAATGTCCTTGTCAGTGTATTAATGATAAAACTTACAAAAGATTTTAAACAGTAGTATTAAGCAAGGTCATCTATCCAATGTCTGCAGTGACACCTAGTGGACAATGTTGTAATCAAAGTCTAGCAAATAGACCAAAAGCTTGGCAAACTATAAGAATTTTACACAGTGTCAGTAAGTTTAAACTTTCATGAATAAAGCTTACATTTTGTTTGTTTACCTTTCACTACAATGCAGCTTATGTGTGTGTAATCATTTTTTAAATTAGCAAATGTCAAATTACCATTGCCCTGTTTAGTCATTCTCTTCCTCAAGAACATGGGCTGTTTGGGTAGGAACGGAAATCGGCGTCTCTGCAGCGGAGATCCCTCACCACTGGTGGCGCCACTGTAGCTACTCTCCAGCTTGTCTCCGTCAACACCGTTCACTGCGGCCTCGGTGATGTTGATGAAGTCTTCATATGGCTCTGTGTAAATGCTTTGAGTGTCTGGGCCAGGTTCCTGGATAATATACAGATATCACTTGGCTTAAACATGTGTTAAAAAAGAGAGACATTATAATCTAATCTAAATTCTATCCAATTCATGGTTTCTTTCTGCACCAGCTATCTGACACTTCCTCTTTGCTTTTTTGTTTTTTTGTTATCCAATTAGCTGCATGCTCATTGTCATTACATGTTATCAATTTTTACAAAAAAATGTTTCTTTATTTATTCAGCATTGTAAATGAGCCAAATATATTAAACCATTTGATATCAGTGAATTCTCTTTCAATCTGATCAATCTTGGTTATCATTCACACGACTATATTGAAAACAATGTTTTGTGTAGTTTATCTTCTCCATAACTGTAATGTTTCTAACATTTTAGAATACAAATCTGCTGCTTTTTTTCCAACAACAAAAGATGATACATAAATTATCTTCACCTTGAGACTGAGCCTGTCCTCCTCCAACTCATCTCCACTTAACTGCTGAACATTCTTCTTCTTGGGTTTCACTACAGACACTCTCTCCATACGCAAGTTGAATCTGTAATACAATAGGAAATATAAAACATTAGACTGCAATTCCATGTACGTAGTTAATTTCTTAACCTGAATAGCTATTGTTCATAAAGTAAATCAAATAATAGGAAATTTAAAACATTACAATGTAATGCCATAAAGTTACTTTTTTCATTGTGAATAGCGTATAATAAATCAATTTTGCTTGTGCATTAAATATTTTCTTAAAGATTGAGTACTTTACAATTTCCTGTTGGCCACTTCAGAGTTGAATTAAAAATCATGTAATTCTGTGATGATCATGAGGAGCAAAGAACTCATGTCTGCCTACTTTTCTCCAGCTTGTTTGATCAATTTTGCAGCTTGTTTTTCTGAGTTGATCTTGACACCATTGACTGCTGACATGATGTCACCCTGGAATATATGTGGTTTTATGTGACATTAAGTTAATACATTATTTATTTATTTTTATTTATTTTTTTATTTATGCACACATAACTGACATAATTTAATCACATAATTACTTTGAAAGTGTATGTAACCTGGTCATTTAGTTATATTCTTCCTAATCAGCAATTAACATAGCAAACATTACTAATCAGACAACTGATGAACACAAACACACACACACACGGGTCAATACAAAGTCCCTTATATTTCAATGTGAATACATAGGGGGTTTACCTATCAATATGCCCTAAAACCTACATGAGCCTTAATTTCTGTATCTATTCAACATAGGTGTATTTCATGGTGCTCAAAGCTGATGAACATTTCCAATAACACTTTACCTTTTTTATATTTCCTTCCTTGGCTGGGGAGTTATCAAACACAGCCTCTATAACCAGAACATTTTCATATTTGTCCACATTAAATTCCTGGAAAGAAAAAAAAAACATTTCATATTACTTTATAAAATATTCAAATGGTAAAAATAGAAATTTATAATAGTAGTTACTGTTACCCTTCAAAACTTGTTAATACATTATAATAACATTTAAAAAAATGTCATGTATGGATTTGTTTTTTCATAAATGGTTCAACTTTCTACATAATCTTTTTTTTTCTTTTTACCTCTCTAAAAAGAAGTCCCAAATTTTGACCCACAGGTCTGTTTATTGGCACCTCATATGTTTTATATACTCTTCTCTTCTTCATAGCCAGGTCTACCCAAGGTGCACTATCTGTTGAGAAAATATATCTCAATATTTCAAAATTAAAAGCTGTAAAGATTACTCTTCACTAATAATTTACAATTTTAATCTAGGCTAAAAAGTCACATTTGTACCTTAAATGGCATTATAGTAGGGTAAAATATTCTTTTAAATTTGTCATCTTGTGTATGCCACTTTTTTTACATCTTTTTTTAAACACATTCCTGTAAATAATTCTTAAATCTCTGTTCGAGTACAGCAATATCAGTTCTTCAAAAGTTATTTAGAATCTATTTTGACATATGCTACAATAATCATATTCATAATGATCAAGCCTACGTAGTGAATCTTAAGAATGGATCATCATCATCATCATCACCCGTTTTCTCAGTTTCTTTTTTATCATGTCACGTGTAGTATAGAGACCCAACAAATGTACCAATTGCACCACTTTCAATACACAATTTATTGCAGAGCTGAGTTTGATGAAGCGTGTGTCTCACCAATAGCCAGTGTACAGTACAGGTGTGCATCTCCTCCATAGTCTGCCAGCCTGGAACAGGTGAGCTGGCCCACCTGTAGTCTACCTGTACAGATACTCCTCTCATCATGTCTCACATCAGGAAAGCTGGACTCGGGTTCTTGTTTGGGGAAGAGGGGACCATAGCGGATTTTATAGAATGGCAATGTGTGTTTCTTACGGATTGTACGCCTTAACTGAATTTGGAAAAAAAATCAGAAATATATCATATTGCTTCATATTGTCATCAGAACAATTGTCTGTGGCTAGTTAACTGATGGAACATGCCATATTTGGGCCACAGACCTCAACATTTCATGAAAGATTTCTCTTTCCCATTCTAATTTTTCTAAAACTAGACATCAGAGTCCACACAGACCTTTAGGTTTTGATGATTAATCTTGATCTTCATCCATACCTGATTAACAATTAGAGATGTCAGTTGTGGAATGGGTCTTCCTTCAAACCTGGAATCCACTTCAAATTCCATAATAGGTTCCTAAAATTAGTAGAAAGCAGTTAGATACCAGAAATAAGCACTATAACTTACAGGGATACAAACAGCAGATTCTGCAATATATCATAATGTAAAAAAAGCATGAAAGTTATATTTATGCCTTTATATGATAATGATCCACTGACATAGACCTAAAAGATACTTCTCAGCATAAACTGCACTGTACAAGTATTTACTTATCATTTTAATTAAACCATGGCAACATCTCCCTCCCCCCCCCCCTCCAAAAAATAATAATTATTGTTATCATTAAAACTTAAATATTTATCATGTTAATTCAGTGTGTAGAACAGTGCTCCTCTTACCTCATAAAATGTCAGAGACCAGTGTGTAAAAGGCAGCCTTGACAACTGTAAGCGCAGTCTTCCCTTCAGTTTGGACAGCTCCACAGACAGGAAGGCAGACTTTCCAAATATGAGGTCTACATCTATTGCTAACTTGAAACCTCCAGAGTATTCAATGTCTAACTTCAAATCTAGTTCCTAGAAGGAATTTTTGTGGGTTCCATACAGTGAATGAAAGTCTAAAAGTCTGAATGAAGACCAAGGCCAAATTATATAAAAAATTAGAATTTTTTATTATAATTTTTTTTTAGATATTTGATTTCTTCAAAAAAGAAAAAAAAAAGATGACAAATGAGTGTGAATAAAAGTATTTTTGCCTTCCAGTTTTCAAATGTAAACACCAATTAGTATATTTGTGTTAAATATAACTTTATATCCCTCTGATTCCATTTTCCTTCATATCCCCATAGAACTAGAGCCATACCTCCATGCTCTGCCTGTCATCATGTAACTTGACAGCAGCCACTTTGGACGACTTCACCACAGGAAATGTATTCCCCAAAGTGTAATGCCGCACCTGTGATGAAACTATGACATGAAACTCTAATGTATAAATACAAAGTTACTGCTAAAAACAAGTTCTACAATAAAGTGAATATGACCTCAATGTAAAAGTCACTTACCCATTTTAATTTAAAAATGGCATCTTTCACTTAACAATTACACCAATAATTTCATTTTAGTTTTTGGTGTAATCCATGTACCAGTTTATGATGTAATTCTACTACTACTTACAAAGATTTCATCAACTAATCTCCCTGTGGTAGTCCAAGCTCTAGTACACATGTACCAGTATATGATGTAATTCTACTACTACTTACAGAGATTTCATTGATCAACTAATCTCCCTGTGGTAGTCCAAGCTCTAGTACACATGTACCAGTTTATGATGTAATTCTACTACTACTTACAAAGATTTCATCAACTAATCTCCCTGTGGTAGTCCAAGCTCTAGTACACATGTACCAGTATATGATGTAATTCTACTACTACTTACAGAGATTTCATTGATCAACTAATCTCCCTGTGGTAGTCCAAGCTCTAGTACACATGTACCAGTATATGATGTAATTCTACTACTACTTACAAAGACTTCATCAACTAATCTCCCTGTGGTAGTCCAAGCTCTAGTACACATGTACCAGTATATGATGTAATTCTACTACTTACAGAGATTTCATCAACTAATCTCCCTGTGGTAGTCTGCAGAAGTTCTTCAAACTCTACATTCATCTTCTTGGTCACCCATCTAGAAATAAAACAAGTAACCATGTAGGCAGCAATTTCGAGAACCAGTCCTGAAACACTGACATGTAGACAGATAAACACAAATCCCCAACACAAATAAATCACGCATACATTGTATTCATCATTATCAAATTTTGGCATTCATTCAAATACCTGTCAAAACAATGTTGTAAACACTTTATATTTTACACCAAATCTGTCAAAAGAGAAGAATTTCATGAAAAAATTAAATCATTCTGGGAGTACATAATTGTCAAATAGTGAAGTCCTTCTATAATGTTAGTACTATACCAATTCTTAGTACAAATGAAGCCAAAAAATAATACATCTATTTTTAAAATTGTTCAGTTATTCTCCTCTTAGTAACAGTAGATTGTAAGTGTCACACTGGGAAGTATCAGGCTAAAAGTACTGAGTTTTTGGCTCAGACTGTTTTTTGACCACTTGCACTTTCCTATCTTTAACATCACGCTCGGCTGTCACCTTGATTGGATAGTAAACGATTGTCGTAAAATCGCTAAATGATATTAAAATCGGGTGCATAAACTAGAAAACCACCTAGGACAACCTAAGACTGCCACATTAATCCAATACAATGCAAAAATAAACTATAACAAGTGGTTAAAGCCTTCAATCGAAATAAAATACTGCCGGGCATCGGAGCGGCCTAAAACTTGGCACGCTTACCGCTAATACTGCAGGCTACATCATCCCGTCGCTCGTTTGTAAAATTCCGTGCACAATCAAACCGTAAATCAAAATTCCACCTCTGATGTTTAAGTTGGTCCACTCTAACCTACCATTACGAAAAAGAAGCCATGCCATTGGACAATGCGACCTCTGCGGTTACGTCATTTCCTGAATTGGATTGTTGAGAGGACCAAGATAAACATCAGGGGTGATATTTGGTGATATTTGGCTTTACGGTTTGATTGTGCGTATGCCATGCACGGAATTTACAAACGAGCGACGGGATGATGTAGCCTGCAGTATTAGCGGTAAGCGTGCCAAGTTTTAGGCCGCTCCGATGCCCGGCAGTATTTTATTTCGATTATTCTGTTGGAACTGGATCAGGTTTGTTTCAGAAGCTCATTCTATTTTATTGTCTCTATGGAGGTATATGGGGACTTTACGACATTCGGTTTGAAGGCTTTAAGGTGACAGCTGAGCGTGTTTAACATACTCTCTTATTCGTTTGGTGTCCTTCAGTTCTCTAAACAAGAACTGAACAAACAAGTTGAGGCTATCACAGCTGTCTTCTTTCGTTGGGTCAAGATTCAAGACCAGGTTCTGAAGTTCCTGCAAAATTAAATGAGAATAAGTGAATAAAAGTAAAATAAATGTAAAAAAAGATATTTATAAAATAAAAACATGCTGACCATTCAAATAAAATTTAAATATTGCTTCCAAATATGAATTTTCATAGCCTTCATTGAATTTTTTGATAACCGGTCTCAACTTTGTTCTGGTTAGGCATACTGTATCATAGTTACTGTATAGCTTCACAAAAAAAAAAAAAAAAAAAAAAAAAAAAAGACTAGTCTTATTATATATATAGAAATTACACAATTATTCTTCTAATGCGTTTTCATTTAATTCACATGAATTAATCAATAAAAGCTTAATTGCAGTTGGTAGTTTTTACAATACAGTCTAGTATATGTATAGAGATTCTTTATTGATACACCTTCACAAATAAGGTACAATCAAAGACAGTGCATCTTACAACATTTACCTGTGGCAACGCGGCTTTTGAAGTCTGTGCACCGTAAGGAATCTCGGAGACGGGCTGTCTCTGCACGTAACGAGCGATAATATAGATCTGGACGACCAGCGTCAGGATTATTCCACACAGAAACGAGATCAAAATAAGCGCCAATGTGGGCAACATGATGATTCACCCTGTTTGTAAACAGAAACTGTCGCTTCTCTATGTCGAGAAAATGAATGACTCGCTCTTGAACCCTTGCTAAAAAATAAAATGCGTATCCGACAAACTTCACAGTGCTAAGGTTAGCGCAGCATCTGCTGTGAATGCCCTCTTCTAATCACATTGTCTGCAGTACTTCAACCGTGCATTTTACACATAAAGTTTTTTTCTGAAATAATCTATATGGGCGCCGCCATTTTTTATTCACATAATTATTGCCAAGACAAGCTACAGGTGCATGCATAATCGTTGATAAGTTATTTTCCACTGTAGACAAAACTCAACAGCTGATGATCCATACACTTTATAAGAATAGGTAAAAAATGGAAATAACACCCACTTCAGTCCCAGAAAGGAATTCTGACCGATAGAGTGGCATGTAAGTACATGAATAAATTTTAGAAGTATCATTATGCGATACAAGAAATCCACATCCTTTAGAACGCCCATTTTTTAAATCTGATTTCTCAAGGACAAATTAGAAAATGACACACACTGGCAATCAAACTGTTTGATGTTGATTTTTACGCATGATGACGACGTGTGAAAATCTGCTTCGCCAAAACAAAAGTGCACAAAAAAGTAGCTCAATGGTCTCTTGAGTTAAAAAAAGAACTATAACATTAATGTTAGTAATTATATGATATACCACAAAAATGTGTTTGCAATTTTATTCAAGATTTTGTGATACTTAATATCTGTGCTAATGCAAGACTTTTGTGCTAACTGTACTTAAGCACTGATATGAACAATATACTTACAATAGCACTGTAGCACAATAGTTTTATTAAAATATGAAAACAAAAAATGATTATTCATACTATATGTATATATGCAGTCAGATACTGTTACTAGCAGCAGTAGTAGTAGTAGTACTAGTAGTAGTAGTAGTAGTGCTGACAGTGAATGAAAAGGACTTCTTAAGGCTATTGCACTATCAGTATAAACACCATCACATGTGATTTACTGATTTCTTCCCCAATATTTCAGTTTGCAAGGGCCAACACAACCACAAAGAAGTATACAAGAAAGAATGCAAAAATTGAGGTCATTGAAGCTGCTGATAATTGTATAGCACCACCCAGTGACTTACCAGCTCCAGTCGGCAAAATGGCAGGCAATGTAGAGACAGAAGAGCTTTCATTTGATGCACAGCAAATTAATCCAATAATAGACACCCATAAGTGCAAATACTGTGACAAATCTTTCAGTTTGAAAAGTGACCTGGACAGGCATGAAGTAAGCTCTCATGGTGAAAAAACTCAGCAGGGAGATCTTGTGAAACCATATCAATGCAAATACTGTGATCAGAGATTTGTTTTGAAAAAAGATCGAGAAAAACATGAAAAATCCCATGAGGGAGATATGGAGAAGCAATATAAATGCAAATATTGCAGCAAATCATTCATTTCCAAAAGCGATGTTGACAGACATGAAGCGACTCACTATGGGGATCTGGAGAAACCATATAAATGTCAATATTGTGAAAAGAGGTTTTCACACAAAGAGAGCCAGAACAGACACGAGAAAACTCACTTTGAAGATAAAACATACAAGTGTCAGTATTGTGACAAGGTTTTTGCACAGAGGGAAAGCCAAGTGAGACATGAAAAAACTCACTCTGGAGAGAAGCCATACAAGTGCCAATTCTGTGACAGTTCATTTTATAGAAAGTTTAGCTTCGTAGAGCATCAGAGAACTCACAGTGGGGAAAGACCCTACAAATGTCTTTTCTGCTGTAAGACGTTCTCCCAGAAGGGAAGCATGGCACAACATGAGAAAACTCACACTGGAGAAAAACCTTACAAATGCAGGTTCTGTGACAAGAGCTTTATTCAAAAGTCAAATTGTGCTAAACATGAAAGAGTTCACACTGGTGAGAAGCCCTATAAGTGTCAATATTGTGACACTGCATTCTCACTGAAAAATAAATGTGTGTGGCATGAAAGGACTCACACAGGTGAAAAACCCTACAAATGCCAGTTCTGTGAGAAGTTGTTTTCTCAAAGGTCAAACTGTCTTATGCATGAAAGAATTCACACTGGAGAGAAGCCTTACCAATGTAAATTCTGCGATAGTGCATTTGCTCGGAAGTTCACTCTTGTAGAACATGAGAGGATTCACACTGGAGAAAAACCATACAAGTGCGAATTCTGTGACAAGTCATTTGCCCAGCGAGTTGTGTGGGAGATGCATGTAAAGATTCACAGTGATAACAAGCCATATAAATGTCAGTACTGTGACAAAGCATTCATTCTCAACATACGGAGGGTAAAACATGAAAAGACTCATAAAAATGAGAAATTACTGGATTCAAACAATAGAAAAAAAATGGATTCAAACAATGAGAAAGAGAAATCATCTGCAAATGTACATGTTAAGGATAAACCTCAGCATGATTCTAACCATAAAAAGAAATCTCACATGGTCATAATCAATAAAAAGAAATCTATTGAAAATGCCAATAGTAAAGAGAAAGCAGAAGGAGACGCGGCTACACAGCCTGAGTGAATTCTGCTTTGTAAAAAGAACATTAAAACAACCTATTCTTGTCTGGTGTAAAACCAGATTTGAAATTACCTTACATTAATACTATGATCATAATCTAGTATGGTGTGGTACATAATTTCATCTACAGTTATTATTGTTGTTATTCATCATTGAAATTGATGTAAAATTATAGAGTTATATATTGTGCTTAAGTGTTATTTTACCAGTTTTACTTGTTAAATTTATATAGAAAAAATATTGCAGTAATTTTAAATTGTGGGTAATTTTTATAGTACTGATTCATCTGTTCTAGGCAATGATTGTAAACATTTTTCTATTCATTGTATTTTTTGTGACATATTTTGTTATTTTACTATTCAACTATTTCAATAAACACCAGTAGGTGGTAGTAAATATAAAGAAGATATGAAAACAAGTTTTCAGCATTTAGTAGCAGTGCATGTACTTCTTATGTAATGGAAAATATGTTATGTTTTAAATTTTGTTAGATGTTTTGTTACATATAATTTTGTAAACAGTTGAGTACACATTTAAATTCATCTTGACTGGTACTGAATATAGTTGTTATATATCTTATTAAGGCGTTTAGTTTTTGAAAATCAATTTTCAATATTTTCTTTTTTTAACAGAAAGTTCTACATATCTTATGTTATTTGTGCAAGAATTAGTGGAATTATTTAAAGGTGCAATATCATATCAATATCAATTTCCAGAGTAAAAGTTTACTGTTGTAGCAATTTTTATCCTATTTTTTTCTATGCTTTTCTTTACGTGATACCAAAAAAAAAAAGCTATCTGCTTGGTATGAAATAAAGTTTCAACATAAAATAAAATGTCTTAATCAACCTGAAAAAAGTGTTGAGAGTAAGTACCATCAACAGGGTCAGTTCTTTGCAAAATTTCACTGCAGATATTTCAAATCGTAATCTCAATATTAAAGGCATAATAACTCTTCTTATGAGATCTATATTTCACAATAAAAACATTGTGAATAACTCACAGAAAAATATTATATTCTGTTTTATCACAAAAACGGCAGTGAGAGCTATTATTCTGATATCTGAGCTTGTCTTTAGACCACGTGACCTCCGTTGATGGCTATACTCTGTTAAAATCACTTAAGAGATTTTAACAAAAAACCAAACTTTTTAGAAAAAAACCAGGGACTAACTTTGAATGTAAAAATGGATTCATTAACCATTGGTAAGTATGGGAAAATTGTTGTTTACTCCAGGAAAATTCATTTTTTGACCGAAACGAAGAGTTATTATCCCTTTAATATATGAAGCTTGAAAAATGTACAGGATCCTATAAAGCAGTTATAAAACGTCAAAGACTATATATTTTTATTACAAGAAAACATGACATATGTAAACTCCTTTAGATGCTTGCAAGATAAAAATAAATTTAAACCTCTAAAGCAGCATATACAAGGCTAATAAATTCACATAATCCTTGTAAAGAAATTCAGAGTGACATCCCAGATTTGGAATCAATCTTTGGCTGCATTCGTACCTCTTTTTATACAAAGTCATTTTTCAGGAAGGAACTTTTTTATACACCTCCCTGTTGACTGGGTGAAATAGCAATAATGCCTGTCAGGAACAAACTTGAACAATTAACTAGTATCAGGGGCGGACGGAAGCTGTCTTCTGGAAGACCCAGAAGATGGTAAAAATTTTTAAGTTTACACTGAAGGGCATCCAACTTTTCCTGTCCAATAACAGTCAAAAATAGAGGATGGAACAATAATTTGGAAGACTGTGAGAAAACATCCCTGGATCTGCCTCTCAGTATGCCAGAGAAAACAGCATTAATACTCAGCAAACAACGTTTTTAATAATGTGGAAAATTCGTTCAGCAAAAGATGCAAAGTTGCGAAAAAGAGTGTTCAGTTTTATATTTACACACCAAGAATATAAGATAAACTTTTGTTCATATTTCAGTGGTTTTGAGTAACCAGATTCAAATCCTACGTCAAGGCAAACATGATGACATCATAAAGTCCTTTGGGAAATCCTTTTTGTTTCTCCTCTTTAATAATCTTCAGTCCAGCCTCCATCATAAGTTTAACCAGAATGTCTCTCGGCCTTGTGACGCTGCTGTCTGTATCATCTTTATCTACCTCATCACTTGATGTCACGTTCTCCTTCACAAAGATCATCCCGTCAGGTGCCAGTCCCACTTTACATCTTTTAAAGAACTCCACCAAGTGCGAGTCCGTCAGGTGTCCCAGCACCCACTGACACCAAATGACATCATAGCGCCCTGCCTCGGGAGTAAAGTCCTGTAAACCTTTGGCGATGTATTGTTCTACTTTATCTGCATGTTCACCCAGGAATTCTCTGGCTTTGTTTAAGAAGTCTGGGTTCAGTTCAACCATGTCAACAGTGTCAAAGAGTGGGATCAGGAGACGTTTTGTGATTCTTCCGATCCCTGCACCGCAGTCTAAAGCACGGTGAGACTTTGTCTTTGCATTTTCTCCCTGAAATAAAAGACTTTTTATATACAATATCTGAGTAATTTGGATGGGTACTTTGGCAATGGACCAAGAAAAAAATAATGTTTTTACATATCAAACTTCTTTTTTTGGTAGCTTGATGAAATAGTATTCTATCAAAATTAATTAATAAGTTAATATAATATAATATAAAATCAATAAACAGTGTACGCAATATTGAAAGAAATCTCAAATTTCCAACATCACAGTGATATGGATTCCTCCAGGGGTATGAAATGCGTTTTCCACAGAATATTTACTCTGATGAACTGTCTTAAAAACTTTGTTGATCCGTTGATGTCAGTATTAGAGATGTGAGAAAAACCTCCCAACATCCCGTCAACTGTGGCTGGCACCTCTTTCCAATATTTATCAGCGTCTTGGTAAAACTTCTCCGTATCTGGTTCTGCCATTTCGTCAGTTCTCCGGTCGTGTTGATACTGTGTACTGAGAGTAAATTATAACAACGCGTTATTGCAAGTAATCATACCACACTAATCCACAGACACAATCACGTTACTGGGGAAAGCATTTCATTATTTCAGGAAATACCGGTATGACTATGTACAAAATAAAAAAAAGAGTTTTTAATACGCCTTCCTCTGTGTTTCTATTACACCTAACTGTACAGAAAAAGTGTTTATGTGATCTAAGGCACATTGTTATTTACCTGCCAGTTACCTGCCGATTGACCTGCCCTCTAGCGACAGACCGCGTTTAATATTACAATATTTTTAATTAAAAAAATGTGTCAAGGCATGATACACATACAGTCAGATACTTTTTAAAAACCATATATATAAGACAGTGTATTTTCTTTTTTCTTATCTTTATTATTTCTGGACCTGTCAAACCTGACATCTCGCGAGAGCGAGAATATGAAAAATAGTTTAAAAGATGGTGGACGAGTGTCAGAAATTTTCTATAATGAGGATGAATAAGATAAAATTCTAGTAGTCTGTATGATGTATTTAATTGTCTTTTAGATTTTGACTTACTTATACATCAGACCAGTATGCAGGCTGAAGATGCGCGGTTTCTGAAGAGGTACGTTGTCAGTAAACCGCTTGTTAACTTGGTTACTACAGGCACAGTAAATGATAAATAATTAGGATTTGCCCCGATGGTGATTTGTGATGGTGAAACGCAACGTTAATCTCATTAATTGGTCGTCATAAGGTATGCTGAGATGTGAAAAAATTGTGTTTTTTTCATGGGAACTGTCTTAATGTTTTAGTTGGTATTTGAAGTCCTTGAAAAGTATGTGAAAAAAATCTGATGGGTCAAATGTTGATTTCCCCCAGGAAAGTGAAGGGGGGAAACATTGATGTCCATCCCACGGAAAAAGCCCTGGTTGTCCACTATGAACTAGAAGCAACAATACTTGGGGAGTTAGGTGACCCAATGCTGGGAGAGAGAAAAGAATGCCAGAAAATGTGAGTATTCAAGTTAAATAAGAAAACAATTACAACATATTATTATGGTGGTAGCCTGTGAAACCATGAGCAGTTATTTGTCCTGACTTAAATAAAGAGGAGTCCAAGTGTCAAGAAATAACTTGTAGCCCTATGCGAAATGGTAAGTTGGCATTCCACCAGTCTTTCCTGGCAGATAAACCTTATAAATTATTTGAAACTACATGTCTACATTTTACAGAATAAGAGTAAAAACACTGAACCAGAACACTAACATTGCGGCTCTGGCTAGAGAGATCATAGACAAGTGTAAGCTGATCCACCCCAGTAAACTACCAGAGGTAGAACAACTGCTGTACTATCTTCAGAAGAGGAAGGACTCTCCACCACCTGGAAAAGGGAATGGTATTATGCATTTTCGTTTTTCTTCATGTTCATTCCAGGGTTATGGTGCTGTTTGGAGAAGCAGTGATTGCACTGACGGAGTGTATAGCATATGATTTAAATTGCATAAAATATTTTAGATTCAATATGTAGTAGTAGTATTTAAGTAAAAAGACTTCCACCAGTCAGCTAATGTTTTCTCAGATGTCTGAAATGCTTGAACAGGATTAGATTGTTATGTTATGTTATGTTATGTTATGTTATGTTATGTTATGTTATGTTATGTTATGTTATGTTATGTTATGTTATGTTATGTTATGTTATGTTATGTTATGTTATGTTATGTTATTTGGAAACAGGAGTTGTTATAAGGTTGTGGACTCAATATATACATCTATAGTTACATTTACTCTACTATAATGTGACCCATGGAGTAGCAATAGTAGTACTTTAACTTGGGCCTTTTTGTGGTAATCTTTAGTGAAGAAGAATTTTACAATGTAAGGCTTCTTTCTAAGGTGACAGGGATTTTAAAGTATGCCCACATGGTAGTTCCTTACATATCTATATATATATACAGGGATTTTAAAGTATGCCCACATGGTAGTTCCTTACATATCTATATATTATTTTAACAACTGATTTTATTATTTCACCAGAGAAGAAGACGTTATCAGAGAAGCCTCTAGACCAACAGACCTTTGAAGGCACAGAAATAGATGAGACAGCCAACCTCAATGATGTAGATGAATACCTAGAACTCCTGTATGAGGATTTGCCAGAGAAGTTACGAGGATCAGCTCTCTTTCTGCAGTTAGCCAGGAACCCAGACAACTTGGAAGAGATTTTCCAGAATGGTATGGTCAGCTATAGTTATTATGATGTTTTACTGAAATTATGTTATTATGGAGCTGGTGGTGTATACCCAATAAATGGTGTCACAGATTATTATTGTTTTGGGGGAATTGTTATGAATTAAGACAAAGCTTATATTTGTGTGAACTAATCTTTTTCATCAAAAAGGATGTGAAAACAATTTTCGTGTGGTAATTTTTGTTCCTTCTTCACCACATTTGTATTTTGTGATTTTAGAAGCTTGTAAACAAAAATTTCCTTCATTTTTTCAATATAAAAACAGTGATTTTAAGATTGTTAAGATTCTGTTTATATTTAACTCTTTTTCAGAAACTGTGGTAGGCGCTTTAGCCAGAGTACTCCGTGAAGACTGGCAGAAGAGTTCCGAGCTGGCGACCAACATCATCTACATCTTCTTCTGTTTCTCCTCATTCTCCCAGTTTCATGGAGTCATCTCACATTTCAAAATCGGTGCTCGCACCATGGGGATCATTGAGCATGAGCTGAAGAAGTACGAGCTGTGGAAACAGGAGTTGGATAAAAAGAGGAAGGCTGATATCCTTTTATGGGACAAACAAAATAGTAAAATAAAAATGTGTGTATAAGATTGTAAAGAATTTTATCAGCTATTTTATGTTCTTGGTGTTACAATACTAGCTTTGTCCAACATCAGACAGGGTCAGCTGTATTGTTATAGTACAGAAATGCTTAAGTACAGTTATAAAAGTTCATGTATTTATTTAGGCCAAATTAAAAATAATTCATTTTGTTTAATTTGGATGTCGGTGAAGGAGTAAAATACTTAAAAAATACTGTTTTGCTTAACTGTGATTGCTTTAAATTAATTTATTTTGTTTAATTTGGATGTCCATGAGGGCATCAAAGATTTAATTGTTTTGCTTAACTGTGATTGCTTTAAATTAATTTATTTTGTTTAATTTGGATGTTGGTGAAGGCGTCAAAGATTTAATTGTTTTGCTTAACTGTGATCACCAGAAGCAGACAAAAACAGTGAGAAGGCCAAAGCTGACTATGAGAAGAGTGAGAAGAAATTTAAAGGTCTTTTAGCTAAACAGGAGCAGTTACTAAGAGGTGGGGAATTAACCTTTTTACAAATGCCTTCCAAATATTCTTCTTTCTTTATCTATAATGAAGTGGTTAGGTTTGTTGAAAGTTATCTCTAAAATTAAAGCCTAAAGGCTTTGTGCATAGAATTTTCGTTTTGTAAAATGGAATTGCAGCTTTTTTAATCCAGGCGAATGTTTGCTGTTTGTACAAGAGAGAATTAATGTTATAAAAATTCCAGTGAAATTATCTTTTTTTCTCTGAATCAGTACATGCCCATGTTTATTTTCAGTGTCCTTCTACCTGTTGCTGAACCTGTCAGAAGACACCAGTGTGGAGAAGAAGATGAGGAACAAAGGCATTGTAATCATGCTGGTCAAGTGTCTGGAGAGGGACAACTTTGAACTGCTCATACTAGTTGTCTCATTTCTCAAGAAACTCAGTATATTTGTGGAAAATAAAAATGAAATGGTAAGAAGTGGGCTTTTCCTTTTACTGCTTATACATATACTATATTCGTCAAGTTTAATAATTTAAAGGAACTTTTAAATAATATTATGATAATCGATTTGAGATTAATAATGTTGAAAAAAAGAACATTTTTCAGTGAAATAAGTATTAGTTCACTTAAACTCTTATACTCCTAAACTAATAGTAAAAAGGTGTGAGCCATGAAAAAAGACAAGCATAGTTTTATCTGTTACCAGGCGGAGGCCGGGATAGTGGAGAGGCTGTCACGCCTGGTCCCCTGTGAACACGAGGACCTCCTCAACATCACCCTGCGGCTGCTGCTGAACCTCTCCTTTGACCAGGAACAGAGGGGGAAGATGGTCAAAGTGGGCCTGCTGCCCAAATTTGTGGGCTTGTTAGGTATGTTTGGAATATAACAGGATGAAATGTGATATCACACTTGGGTTTGTGTTTGGATGTTTTATCCCTCCTTCCCCCTCAATAAATTAAGAAAAACACTGAAATTATAACCCTGTTTCTTATTTGCGTATAGAAAATGAAAAGTTCTTCAATGTTGTATAGATAGTTGTATAAATGTCTTAAACTACAGATAAAATATAATTATATGTTATTGTCTATTCCCAGGTAATGAGAACCACAAGCTGATAGTGCTGTGTATTTTATACCACCTCAGTCTGGATGACAAGTGTAAATAAAATATATGTTATTGTCTCTATTCCCAGGTAATGAGAACCACAAGCTGATAGTGCTGTGTATTCTGTACCACCTCAGTCTGGATGACAAGTGTAAATCTCTCTTTACTTACACAGATTGCATTCCTATTGTAAGTACTTTAGTTTGTTTAAATGATTTTAATGTTTGTAGTAAAATAGAAGACTACTGCTGCTTCTTCTGCTACTACTACTACTACTACTGCTACTGCTACACACTTAATGTGATCATTTAAAACTGAAGTCAACATATTTCAGATTTAATAATTGTGTTACAAGATCAGAAGGCTTCAGAAAAAAGTTCTAACCTTTGTTATGGCATGCACACACACACACACACACACACACACACACACACACACACACACACACACACACACACACACACAGACTTGTTTATGTGTACCAACCGAGTATTTACACACAACACCATAAAACCGAGNACACACACACACACACACACACACACACACACACACACACACACACAGACAGACAGACAGACAGACAGAGTATTTATACTGTATATCATATTAAATCAATATTTCAGGTGATGAAGATGATTCTGGAGAGCCCAGGAGACCGCGTGGACCTGGAGCTGATAGCACTGGGAATCAATCTGGCTGCCAACAAACGCAATGCTCAGATGATCTGTGAGGGTCAGGGCCTCAAACTGCTGCTGAAGAGGGCTTACAAGTTCAAAGACCCACTTCTGATGAAGATGATTAGGAATATCTCTCAACATGATGGCCAGACTAAGGAGCTTTTTATTGTGAGTTTGTGTGAAATATGTGTGTACATGCACGGACATACGCACATATGCATGTATATACACACAAAGTGAAATGTGTCTTGATACATGTTATCATCAGTAGATTATATTTCAATTTTTTTTAATGTTGGAAATATTTCTTTACTGATTTTCTATAACTGCATATATCTAGCATTTTTCCAGAAAAATTCAGTGATTTAAATTGAATCAAAATATTTAAGTTTTAATTGATTTAATTGAAACCAATGCAGATTTTGTTTCAATTTCAAACATTTATCAAAAATGAACAATTCCCAGGACTATGTGAGTGACTTGGCTAATGCTATACAGAAGATAGAGGATGAGGAGTTTGTCATCGAGTGTGTAGGGATTCTGGGTAATGTGACCTTCCCAGACTTGGACTACGAACTCCTTTTAAAAGAATATCAGCTTGTGCCATGGATACAGACTAAAATGCAACCTGGTAAGTATTGTGTTTTGTTTCATTTTTTCTTGAAGTACTTATATATGTTTTTAATATTAGACAGAATGTTACAGAAAATTAAAATTGATCAATACAGCTGCTACTGGTCTGTGTACAAGTGCTCTTTCTCTTTCAAGCTAAAATATCTTTTACACACACACAAAAAGAGAAGTATATGTACACAGGTGTTCATACACACAGTTGTAGAAATAGTGGTAGTAGTGGCATATACAGTTTAATTTACATTATAACCCACCTTTTCCCAGTGACATTTGTTGTAGAGTCTGATGATGCAGGCAATGTTAACACCAGATATCAGTATACAGGTAGAACACCTGTTCACTACTAAATCTGTTCAAATGTTGGTATACATCACTGACTTGTGACTGTCATCTTGGTTTAGTGATGGAAATAGGCAATTTGCAGCTTGGTGACAATATATTGACTTCTTTCGTTAACCTGCTGCAAAAGGCCTATTGGTTTTGTTACAAGGACCACACAGTTAATTGTTACATGTTAGATTCTTAAAATAGTTCTTTTAAAAAGTTCACTTAATGTTTCATTATTGATTTATTATTATAATTATTTTTTGTCTAACAGCAAATGTGAAACAACATATATTCCCTGAGCCTGTGGGTGTGTATGTGCAAGAGAGAGAGAGAGAGAGAGAGAGAGAGAGAGAGAGAGAGAGAGAGAGAGAGAGACTTTTTAATGTTCACATGTTCTCCTTATACTATGTTCACGTGTGTGTGTGTGTGTGTGTGTGTGTGTGTGTGTGTGTGTGTGCAGATACACGAGTCACGTGTGTGTATGTAAGTATGTGTGTATTACTACACATCCAGTTTATCTGTCCAGGTGCTGTGGAGAATGACATAATCCTTGAGTGGACATATTGTGTGTGTGTGTGTGTGCGTGTGTCCGTGCGCACATGTATTTACTCTCTCTACATACATATAATCTATCCAGGTGCTGCGGAGGATGACATGGTCCTGGAGATTGTCATCCTGCTGGGAACAGTGTGCTGTGATGACAACTGTGCCAAAATGTTAGCAGACAATGGGATCATACAGAATCTCATAGAACTCCTCAATGGTAAGGCTTTTATCATGGGATCATACAGAATCTCATAGAACTCCTCAATGGTAAGGCTTTTATCATGGGATCATACAGAATCTCATAGAACTCCTCAATGGTAAGGCTTTTATCATGGGATCATACAGAATCTCATAGAACTCCTCAATGGTAAGGCTTTTATCATGGGATCGTGCAGAATCTCATAGAACTCCTCAATGGTAAGGCTTTTATCATGGGATCATACAGGATCTCATAGAACTCCTCAATGGTAAGGCTTTTATCATGGGATCATACAGGATCTCATAGAACTCCTCAATGGTAAGACTTTTATCATGGGATCATACAGGATCTCATAGAACTCCTCAATGGTAAGGCTTTTATCATTCTTCATTCTCCCAGTACACAAAAGAACTGTAGTCTATTTTGATCCATGTAATTTTTTCATTATATGAAAAAAGTAGCTACTGTTTAAGGCTAAAAGTTAGTTTTGGGGGACTACTGCTCATTTTCAGTACTGAATTAGACCAACAATTTTGTCTAAAACTTGAGACGAAGTTTTGTTCTAAGATTGTTTGTGGATCAAGTGATCAAGACCCTTTGGTGGAAGGTCAAAATATTGTGCTTCATGAAAAAAAATATAACATGTTTAGTCTTATCAGAAAAGAAAATCACTTTCTACCACAGTTATACTGTCATACACATTGTACTTGACTCTTATTTTATTGTTCTTCACAGCCAAACAAGAGGATGATGAGGTGGTTTGCCAGATCATCTATGTCTTCTATCAGATGATATTCCATGAGGCTACCAGAGAGATCATCATTAAGCAAACACGTATCCTTACTTTAAACTTAGTATACATATTTTCAAAGACAAACAACTTTGTCTACTTATTTTCACAAACAAAGAAACTTAGTCTACATGTTTAAGACAATGTATATGTGAGGAAAAATTGAATATCTTTTATCNATTAATTGCTTTTCTTTCCTTGGATAATGTTACAAAATTTATTTGAAATATCATTGTAAACTAATTTCCCAGTGGAATGTCTCCTTCCACAAAGCTGGCTATAGTGTTAAGTCAGGGGGCAGTTTCAGTGCTTGCTATATTCCTTATGTTCCACATACACCCCCTGAGTATAGGGTTATGATGTTATTGAACAGAAGCAATAAAAAAACAGCATAACTTTGATAAAAATGGCCCGATCATGCTGATTTTCGAACTTGACCTGCATATGATGAATATTCATCAGTGCTGTAGGTTTCAAGCCAAAAAGTAAAATAGTTTTCTGCTTATCCTGTTATCGGTGAAAGTGCTCGGCAACAGTGAGGGTGACAATGTGTCTGTACAAATGTGTCTGTACATAAAAATGGAAGTAGTAATATATATATACGTAAACATCCTTGACTCTTGCGACAGAGGCTCCAGCTTATCTGATAGACTTGATGCATGACAAGAACCCAGAGATCAGGAAAGTCTGTGACCAGACACTGGATATCATAGGGGTAAGAATGTGTGTGTGTGTGTGTGTGTGTGTGTGTGTGTGTGTGTGTCTGTGTGTGTGTGTGTGTGTGTTTGGTATGTGTGTGTGTGTGTGTGTGTGTGTGTGTGTGTGACCAGACACTGGATATCATAGGGG